ATTGGAATGGATGTATGCTTGTTGTTGAATAGAAATCTCAATTCCATGTCGTACTGAGAGTGATTGATGTCAAGCACGTCCTGTATCTCACTGTACATTTCTGCATAGGATGTATTCGATGTCAATACAATTGAAATTAAGCCACGTATATCATCTGTCCATTTTCAGACCCATAGACCATTTCCATTCTGTTCAAATTCACCAAAATAAAGAACCGGGATTGCAACCATATTTGACTGCATTTAAAAAAAAATTGTTATTAACGTGGGGAAAAAAATTAACGTCGACGACTCGGACGTCCGGGCCATGTGGACCCGGACGTCCGGGTGGTCCGGGCCATGTGGGCCCAGACGTCTGGACGGTCGGGCCCGCACTGCCCGGGCGGTCAGGGCCGTGCGGGCCCAGACCATCCAGACTACCCGGACGTCCGTTCAGATGAATTTTTTTCTCAGATCTGAAAATCTCATGCAGATAAATTTTTTTCTCTCGTTTTTATTAAAAAAATCGATTATAGGTATATAAGATCGTAAAATTTTCATATACATAAAATTTAAATGTTAAAATAATGTATTTAAACGATGCCTGTGAATAATATTTCCTTGTTGGGTGTTTGATAAATTTATNTCGTAAAATTTTCATATACATAAAATTTAAATGTTAAAATAATGTATTTAAACGATGCCTGTGAATAATATTTCCTTGTTGGGTGTTTGATAAATTTATCTGTTTTCAAATTTGAAACAGATGAAAAATGAAATTATTTTTACCTCTGTTGGAGTAAACAGATAAAGAAAGGGGTTTCGAAATTTTAAGTGGGGAGTGTTTGGAATTCTTTATAACTTAAAAATGGTATTATTATCTTTTAAATAATACCATATTTTTGTAATTGAATAACATTTGAAGGGTAATTTTGTCTTTTAAGCATTTTAAGGCTATTGTGGTGAATGTCAAGAAATTTTGGGTAAAGTGAAAAATGACATGTTTGACAAGGGTAAACTGAAAAGTACCCCACCAAGTCACTCATATTTTCTTATAAAATTACAAAAAAAAAAAAAAAATTAAAAGAAATTATAACAATAGAAATTGATATAAAAAATGGTATCACAATTTTTTTTGTCATCAACAATTTGATGCTGGGAGGAGGGCTGATTGCTAAACATCAAATTCACTTTTCATCACATTTATATAAAGGACTTCTTTGAAGTCTAGCTACATATCCAGTCCGTTACTGAATTAAGAAATTGCAAGTTGCTAATTAGTTGCTGTAACAATGCTTATATAATTTGTTGGTCTAATTGTGCTTTGTTAAGACTCGAACTTGTAACTATTATGTGCTTCCCAACAATTATGTTAAAGTCGTGTTTCTGGGATTGACACTTCTATTAATTGGAGACTAAGGTTGGATTGTTGACATTTGGCATTTCACTCACCGTTGGATGTGATTCTAGAGTCTTCTACATTTATCTTCCATGAGACGCTTTTGGGGATCTCATTCGTTTTCACTCTTCTGACTTTGGCTCTCGCTTCTGTTCTCTTCCTTTAGAGAGAATAACCTCATTTTTACCTAGGGTCTACATTCTTGAGTGTTTGAATCGTGTAAACTGTATATTCTCTTAGATCTACTTCTGATTGTTGTGAAGTAAGGATTCTTTGAGTGATTTGGGTGCTGAATCTTTTGTGAGTCGAGTTGATTGTGAGGTGTTACGCAGAACTTTGTGATCTGGCCTATTTTATATCTTATGGGTGTTCGATCCAAAGGCTTGCGTAAAGATAAGTCTTCGTGGCCTTTATCTTGTACTCTTGAACTGATTGTAGCTGTTGGTTGCCATATTTTTGGCTATTTAGTGCAACTGAACAATATCCATTATTTGGATGCTCAACGAGGGATGTAGGCGTTAGATCCAGTCGTCGAACCTCCGGGGCTTAGGCCAAAACATATCCTGTTTTCAATCTTTAATTTTTGCAACTTTTACTTTCTATTTTGAGATTGATTCTTTTAGATCTTGTTTTTAATATCGTGTGATTTGGGCCTTTTCATGCTTAGGTTGTGTCTGGGTGCACTGAACATTATAATTTAGACCGTTGTAGGATTTTTTAATTGGCAAAATCTGACATGTTTCCAGTAGGTATTCAGCCCATTTAGCCCCTTCCCAATTTTACCCCCTTGCAGGAGGTAGGTGAGAGAATCTTGCACATGTGATCAGGATAAAATAGTCTTTTTTGTTCAAAATTTGTACAACACGTGAAAGTCTTCAAGGAAGTGGGACCAGCTGATTTGACACAAAAATTGATTTTTGTTTTGGAGAATCTCTCCCAGACACACCCATAGTCCGGGTCTAATTTCGTGCAACCGAACAATATCCATTATTTGGATGCTCAACGAGGGATGTAGGCGTTAGATCCAGTCGTCGAACCTCCGGGGCTTAGGCCAAAACATATCCTGTTTTCAATCTTTAATTTCTGCAACTTTTACTTTCTGTTTTGAGATTGATTCTTTTAGATCTTGTTTTTAATATCGTGTGGTTTGGGCCTTTTCATGCTTATAGTCCGGGTCTAATTTTGCTGAACATACCAACTCCCTCATTTCTTGCATTTTCCGTCTTTCAGCATTGTAAGAAGATATCAGAAATGGCTTTTGCTGCCCTTATTTCTCTAGCTAACACTATTGAGCAGAACCTACACCACCATCTGATTCCTGATAAACAGCAAATTGAAGCCCTTCTTCAAGAAGCTACTTTTTTACAGAATTTTCTTGAAAATTCTTTACATAAATGTGACGACAAAGTAGAACCTTTGGAGAGTCAAATCAGAGATGTAGCATACAGAGCTGCAGATATCGTAGAATTGCACCTTGTTGATGAACTTCTTCCAAAATCAGCAATTTATGCTGTTGAGAACTCCACAACCTTCAATCGGGCCTTAGAGAAAGTAATTGAAGAAATACATTTCATTAAGCAAGAGGTTATGAAGATTGAGGACGAGATTGTTATGCAAGATCTGCAGCCAAGGACTTCGTTGGGTGCTGTCTCATCTAAACCTACTCTCAGTGGCAAGAGCACGATGGTGGGTCTTGATGATGAACTCGAGG